GACTACGTGGTGTTACACGATGATTATAATACATATCATCCGATACGTTGTACTCGTCAGACTCGGACAGCGACGCAGCCAGGCGTCAAGCCAGTAAGTCTGTCTCCGCGGGGGCTCTGTGGCAATGGTATGAGACGATTGTCCTATTACGAAGAAGCTGGCTGAACGGGTATGGGGAGAGCGTATTAGACCCGATTGATACAGGCAATGACTGACTAGATCGAAGCTGTAGTGACGAGGACAACTTTCGCGTCAAGAAAGACCAAGTAGCATCTTAAATTGGTACCAAAGCTCACTTTCGACGTAGCTTGCGAAGAACAGTAACGCGAAAGAGATAACGAGCACGGAGAAAGGTATGGCGCTCGATTTGATCTCCGAGTGCAAGACGAATTGCGCTGTGCCTTCGCAGAAGATACACCGCTTACAGACTGAGCTATGTAGGACTCATCTGCGTGGAAAAGGCAATGACTTGTACGAACCCATTCGTACATGCTTCCTGCGTTCGGAGCGCGACTTGCAATGACAGGATGTCCTTTCAATGACTTGCAGACGGCAGATCAGAGAAGCCTACCTGAATGAAATGGCTTCGACGAGCTACGACGTCAAGCATCATTCTGCTCGAGTGTGGCAACGTACACGCCTGAGTGAGTTGCTTCGAGGAACAATTTGGCGGATCAAGCAACGAAGACTAGCAAGGCAATGTCTTCGCTTACGGACAACGTACGTAAGTCAGACTCTACAAAGCAATGCTCTGGTTTTCGATCGATTATAGTCGATCGAGGAAAGAATGGACGCGTGGATAATCATGACGAGAAGCGAGCAGACAGAGTAACAAGCGGCAGCTGCTTTCATTGCGCTGTAGAGTCACAATTACAAACGAAATTGTCCATACTACGAGGAAAAGAAAAGGACGAAGTCCAGTTGTGCCCGCTCGGATGGCCCGGTAGTGGTGGAGAATGTGCCACCCTTGTGTGCACTCTCACCAGGCGCTTCGCGATTTTGTGTGGAGCGCATCGAGACAAAAGTGTGAAGTGTCAATCGGAGAAGTCGTCAAGTCTAAGCTGGATGAAACGGCGTATCAGGAATTGACATTCGTAGTTTGACACCGGGTCAAAGGCACACATACCAGCGTGCAAGGAGTAGTTGACGACACTTCAGCGCATGTAATATAGCGAATGGAAGTGAATAAGTTCCGCTATCTCTAACGTTGTTGGTGACAAAGCAGAAGTATTGGAGCCATACTTCCTGAGTAATACTTGACGATTAAATGGTGCGTTTATATGCCGAAGATGTGCTGTATGTCCCAACAGCGCTCTCCTCACCTAGATTAGCGCTGGAACAAGTGCTTCAAGTGACGCGAGATGATAATGCGCGTTTGTCTGGTTTGATGAAGGAAAAAGTAATGGTCCGTCAAAGAGAACGAAGTCATTTGAACACAATTTGCGGCTCATATGTGGACATTTGGGCCCGTAACATCGGCTCTATGAGCAAGAAAAGACAAGAAAGATAAAGTGACAGGCATGAATCGAGTTTTGGAATTTTGCTGGATGGGATGATGTTTCCGCCATCTTCGTCTAGCATGAGAGACTCGGACGGACATGTCCGAAATGCATTCGTCGAATGGTCAATGGAGGACTGGCTGATGGCATTCTGCTTTCACGCCGCGGGAAAATGGTGAGAGTTGCCGTGATGGAAAACAGTGAAGGATATTTCGCATGTTCTTGGCAGCAAGATTACGTAGGTCAACGATGTGATCTTTGCTGGCTTGCTAAGTACTGATAGCAATGATAGGTCGCCATATTCAGCAGTTCTCGACTTGTGCCAGGTCACTCGCACTGCGTAGAGACAAATTTGTAGAGTCGAAGACCGACGGTAAGGTCCATAGCCGTACGATACATGTATGAAGCACACAACGCAACATTAATCATATATGCTGTTGACCGACTTATTCCTTGTGACTTTGATCAAGTTGGCGTAACTAGAGTCGTCTCAGGCTTGTCTTATACGTGACAGGCGTTTGAAAGCGGACGGTTGACACCTGAGACACCAAAAGTAGCATCGTACACACGTTTGCAGAGGACAATTGAGACCTACGACGCTGTTCACGGCACGTGCATACTAAAGTTGGGCTATATGCGCTACAGCTTGGCTTAGTAAAGCGAGCACATCAGACGATGAATGGCATGGTGAAGTCGGTGATACATTATTCGGAACTTCCGTGATCGTGCCATTACATGCAATGGAGAACGCTGTGGGCGAAATCGCGTATGCTGCAAAAAAGCAGTTGCACACCCTACAAGGTCATGTGTGGCACAAAACTGAACACTCGTCACGCGAGATCGTTTGCTTTTGCCGTACTGCCATGTTCTAGTGACTGAGCGAACAAAAACGAAACATGAAGTGCAGACGGGGAATCTCACTAGTTTTACCGTGGATCTGTTGTAGGCTGTCATAGAGAATGCACAACGAGTACCCAAGAAAAGTTGTTTACCAGGTGAGCATATACGATACATCAAGTTCCGAGATTGCTTGGCAAGCACTTGTTTGACAACAATCAAGAAGTGAGCGCACATGTTCGACAGGGTTCTTAGCGAGAGAGGATTGAAGGGAAGAAGAGTTTAACGACTAGCTGACTGGAACGCGAGGGCTATTCTCATATGACTGATTACGCCACCGTGGTATTGAGCACTGCTTCCAAGTGCTCATGAAGCAAGGAGGACCGGACACATGGCGTGCGACCTGTAATGGCACGCGCGCTTCCGGCAATGCTGCCGTTTTTTCTCGGTGTTGATCTTTTCAAAACGTTTCTGGCTTTCGTTTGGATCTACAAAGTGCTAACAAGTACCAGAGCGGTTGACAACTATGCTACTCACGCTAATCACACCGCCTCACTTTTGTGTCTTCGGTCGTAGCTTGTCGTGTCTGCATGAAAATGGCCTTTCGAGGATGCGTCTTGATGCTAGTCTTTCGTTCAGCAAACTTTTTCTTTGAATGCATCATTGACCTCCGCACGCGGCTCGTTCGTGCCACGGTCAACGTATTGCTATATAGCTCGCCGAGGTCACTGTGTCTCGTCAACAGATTCAACTGATAGACGAATCCATCGTGAGTCACTGTGTCTCATTATCAAATCTAACTGACAGACAAACACATCGTAAGCAATGCTTGTCAGCAATAAGCAAGTTTATAGTGTGCCCTCACACATCGTCCTTGTCGGGTCAAACCAGAGTTTAGACACGACAATTTGTGTCAGCACACGCAGCAAGAAAGAAAGAAAGAAAGAAAGAAAGAAAGAAAGAAAGAAAGAAAGAAAGAAAGAAAGAAAGAGAAGAAAGAAAGAACGCAAACGAGCGAAAGCGCCGTCTCCTGATGCGTCACGAAGTGTCAGGCAATGATCGGTTCACGGTACTTGCGACTCACAGTTTTGCCTCAGTTGTGGTCAAATTACTGCTTGCATCTCCAAGTCAACGAACCGGTTGTTTCTTGATAGCCGGTAAGGCGTGTACATTGACAATTGAATCTAGGACGCAATACGGTAACTCGTGTATGAGCGGATGCGCACCGAAGACGAGGCCTCCCAAATCTTGACATTGTCGAATCTCGTACGGTCGGCCGCTGTCTGTCGATCTGAGTCGTTGCTCTACGCCATCTTTGAATGAATGCCATTGCTGTCTTGCTCCAAGAAAACTGCAACTCGCTGGCTATACCCGCTTCCTCGTTGACCCCTCTGAAGTGACCCGGTGTGGTAGCTCCACAGGTACAGGCTCATTGTCGTTGCGGAGGATGTCGCAGGATGTAACGCCGCTGGACTTGAAAATTGTGTCACCATCTGCTGCAAGCGATCGGACCTCGCCGCAACGAGATAGAGCGACAAAGTCGAGCCAGTGTTTACGGCCATGCGCGTTTGGGCCTCCTGATGCATTCGTGCCGTCGAAACGAATGTACCCTCGTCAAGGTCCTCCATGCTGGGCGGTAGCTCAGCAATCGGTCGAGAAGCCGCAGTGGCGATGGCTAAGCACGACAGGGTGTAGAGTTGTAAGTCGCCTATAAACCTGCGGTGTAACACCGCCTGATGCATCTGGCGAGCGACCAACTCGAGCGCGACGCTGTTACCGTCAAGGCTCTTTTTGTATGCGTTCACTTGACAGCCGACACACACAAAGAAGAAGAAGAAGCCGACTTTGCGTCAGCGAAGCGAGTGAGACGAACAGCTCGAAGAGAGCTTTCAAATACGGAAGGTATGGTTGCAGTGAAAGGACGTTATGAAGCAGAGACCTTGTCGTCGTGTGCGAAGAAAGAGAGGGCGAACTTCGGCCTCTAGAGCTGTCGCTGAACAGCTTGTGTGACTTCATCTGACACTCAGAGCCGTGGCCAGGTCTGACCTGGCCCGGCATTCTTGAAACACGACGTCTGCGAAGAAAGCGATGCATCGAGAGGCATCGACTTTTCGACCTGTGAGAAAAGTCCAAGTAACGCAGCCACGGGCACAGCTGGGTCCGATCAGACTCGAGTGTCGTACGACATGAGGACCTGAAACCCACAACTAGTTGCAAGTGATCTCGAACGTAGCATACTGGACAATGTGTTCGTCTCTCTCTAATGTCACGTGCGTTCACAGCCCCTTGATCCGACACATCTCACACAACCTCGCGAGCTCAAGCGGCCGACGATTTGCATGTTCCGTTATCGCTCATAAACAAGGTCTGACTTGTCATACGCAAGAGAGCTTCCGGATCTCCATGTGTATGCTTTGAGCTACGCATCACAGGCTCCATGCTGCACCCAGGCACATCCGTCTCACGTTCCTCATCGTCTGTTCGTGTGTGCCTGATCCGATCGCACAATAGGCCCAGCTGTCGTTTCTTGGGCTTCCTTGTCTCAGCTACACTCGGACCGGAGCTTGCGTTACCTCATCAACTGGCACTTGCGCACTGGAAGGTCGAGAGAGTCACTTTGGCATTTACTTGCCAGCAACACGACGCATTCGATTCGGAACGACCATGTCTCCGCACCATATCGTTGTCCGGCTGGCTGCAGTCGTGCTGCTTGCTACGTCAACGACTGCTGCCGCGTCTGCTAGTCTGAGGCAAAGGGAACACTCGGCTCGCAGCTTCGGGATTGACAAACAAGACGTTTCGAAGGGGAGACCCGCGCGCACGGATGATAACAGCGCAAAGAACGACGACTTCGACCAAGAAGCGAGGGCGGCGTTGGCTGTAAACAGTCCAGCCGGTTCCTTTACGGACCTTTTCATGAAATGGGGTTCGTCTCTGCTTCACGAGAACGCCCCAGCTGGTGGCAAACCACTTATGGGACTCGGCCATTCGAGTGGGAACGAGCTCAGTAAGGCCAAACTGGACCTTTTGCTTCAGCATTATCTTCAGCAGGGCCGAGAGATGGATGTCACCGCAACAACGATTCTGAACTTCATACCGGTCAGCCGACTGGCCGAGATGGAGAAGGACTACCCGGGCTTCAATACGGTGATATCGAAGGCCTGGGTGAAGGAAGGCAAGTCGGCCGACGACGTTATGCGGCTTTTGGAGCTGACCGGGATCGGACCAAAGATTATGGATCACCCGAATCTTGGCCTATACATCAGGTTCAGGTACGTGCTGAATGAGAAACTTGCTACACAGAAACTCGCGAAGCAGGAACTCGCTAGACTTTCGCAAGAGCACACCCGCTAGACCGTTTACTTTGACTCATAGACATTGTTCCCTTTGTCGCTTGTGTCGTTGAAGCAAGAGAGAGACAAAGACGTGTTGTGGATTGTCGATAGGGCCAACGTTGCTTCCATTTGTTGGGCCAACAACCGTTGACGACAGCAAAGTCAGAAACCGTATGAGGTGCATTGATCGTAGAGATTGAGATAGAGAAACAAAACACAAAGCAAAGCGAGGCCGATGCATATAGGTACAACCGGCAGCTCCTACCACGTACCTTGACGAATAGATAGATAGGCAGGTAGATAGATCGACAGTAGATGGATCGATCGACAGACAGATCGATAGATGGACTGAAGATAGATCGACAGATAGTCATTGGACAACCGATGCACTGCACCGCTCAAAACGACTCCATTCCGCTTCACACGTGCAGTGACCCACTTGCGGCCACGCAAGCAGTCACTCTATCCCACCTCGTCGCACCACTCCCGTGCCGCACTCAGCCAACCGACGTGTCTACTCTGCCTTCGCCACGGCCGACGCCACCGACACCGCCGCTGCCGTCGTCTTCTTCGCCTTGCGCTCCCGCGCCGACTTGGCCTTTTCCTTGCGGGCGTCCGACTGCTCTTTCAGCGTCTTCTCGCGATGACGCTCCGCCTTCATCTTGTGGATCGTCTCCATGAGCACGCGCTTGTTCTTGAACTGGTTGCCCTTGCTGCGCATGTAGAGCTCGTGGTAAATGTGCTTGTCGATCTTCTTGGCCTCGCGGTACTTGCGCAGGAGGCGACGGAGCACGCGAATGCGCCGCATCCAAATCACTTTGAACGGCAGACGCGCGTTGGCCGTACCGTGGCGCTTGCCAATGCCCGTGTGGCGGCCCTTGCGCTTCGCTTCATTGCGCTTCGTGAACCGCGCGCGCGAGTGGATCACCTGCGGCTTCTTGATCACAAACCCGTCCTTCACGAGCTTGCGGATGTTCTGGCGCGAGTTGGCCAGCGCGATCTCGTTCGACTCGTTCGGGTCGAGCCAGATCTTGCGCTTGCCGCACTTGAGCACGGACGCCGCCAGACTAGCGCACAGATGGAGCGAAGAGAGACGAAGGGAGAGAGAGAGAGAGAGAGAGAGAACAAGTGGGTACAAGTGTCAGGCAACGGCGTCAAGAGGTCGTTGCAATAACGTGGACGACGCTCTTCGTCTAAACGTACCGCTTCTGGAGTTTCAACGACACCATCGGGGGGTTCTGCTCTGCACGTTGGCCCAATGAGGAGAGAGAAGTGAGGAGCTCCGAGCGCTCGGCGACGGGTGGAGGCGACAGCCATACAAATGACAAGCGAGTTGACCGCTGGCATACAAACGGCAAGAGAACGACCAGCTCCGGTTCGAACCGACGCAAGAGGAATGTGTGGCGAAGAGACCGCGACCGCACCGGTTCATTGACGGTCCTGAGAAAAAGTGACATGCACGGATAGTGGCGAAGAGATGCGGTGCGCCCCGGCCGTTTGTCGCCATGGAGGTTCACATTCTCATGCGACAGACGGCTTGTTAGCAGAGTGACACAAAAGGACGACCACTTCTTTCAGTTCTTTTTCAAAGTGGTGCATTCGTAGTAGCTGACCACGTCCACTTGTGTGTTTGTTGCCTCGAGCGTGACTTGTGGTCGATTTTCATGCCACATTAGCGATGAGGAGCACCACTTGCGCTCTTTGCATGCAACGCAGAAGAGCGTCACCAAAGAGAAAGAAGCTCAGCACAACCGCTACTGCGGTCTACCACATCTGCGGTCTACTGCGATCTGCTG